GAGCAGCGCTCAGTGAGTTACGTGCCACTCCACGATCAGCCCGCGAGCCACGCTCGGGTCTCCTGTCCGAAACACCTTTGGTGTTCGACAACTTGGATACTCCGATTTCCAGCACATTGACCGTCCCGGTCCAGTAACCGCGCCAATAGCGTTTCTGCTTCTTAGCAGAGGTGGATTCATGACTCACCAAGCTCCTCTAAAAGACATGCGCGTAGCGCTCAAGATCTTTGACGTCCAATCAATCCATGGCTCATGGTGTTCCAACCATGCCATACCAAGGATAAGGTCATACCTTGCATCAAAGTCTAAGATTAGAAAGCGTTCCACGCTATCAAAGTAAAAATAAACTTGACACCGAGGTCCATAGGGACCCTCGGCACAGTGCAACAAGTCCCCGTCGCTTAACGAACAGTGATGGTGTCACTCAAACGCGCTTCCAGCGCCTCGGCATACAGCTGACTTCCTTTGATCGTGGAGTGTCGAGCATAACTGTTTGACGCACCAGAATCGTTAAAGATTTTTCATGGCTTCTCAAAGCCCTTCAAGGTCGCTTTTACGACCAGAAAGCCCGGATCATATACACGTTTCGTGTTCAAGAGCACGGAGCTCTTCAAGGCTGAGTTCTGCTGGACTCTACCTCTTTGAGGCTCAACAGAACTCAGTCCCCCAAGTAGGGCGCCCCACGCCTACTAAGTGTTCTCAGCCTCCGCAACAAACCAGATTGATTAGAAGCGGGACGTCGGTTCGACAAACCTTTACGTACCTTGTGCAGGGAACGACCAGTCCGAAGGTGAAGGGTGTCTCCGCAGACAAACACCATCGGGTGTTTACACGCTGCTCGGCAGCTCGGAGCCTTCGCTCTTCTCTCTCAGCATAGCTGTGATCCATTGGCTCAGGCCCGCTCGACAAGGTCTGAAGGGGATACATTCCAATCAAATTATGTTGAGTTGAAGTTGAGTTTGGCAATCAATGTCTCGCTCGCCGCATTTTCAAAAGAAGACGGATGAACACGGAAGACTTCCATTCTGGCCACACCAGTGCGGAGGCCCTCCATAAAGACGGTCACTGCGACCGCCTTGGGAGTGGATAGGCTGCCATCCTGGCGATGAGAGTACGCAACGTCTTTGATAAAGTTCACCAATTCCTTCTTGCCCTATCGGGCAGTCGATCGCACGCGATATGCCTGAATAGGCGGCGAGAACACTTGCAAAAGCTACAGCTTCAGCTTCTTCCAGGAGGGGTTCGCAGCTTCAAACTTAGCACGCACGTTGGTGCCCATCCTCGCGCTCGCCCCCCGAGCTTGGAGATAGCTAGCGCCACGCGCTGTTGCTCGTTTTGGAGCATGGCGAATGTTATAGCCATCTTGGCTTCTCTCACCCGCAGGAAATTCTCTCCATCCTTACTCTCGAAGGTCTTAACGCTCCCCATGAGCGGCCTGGGTCGGGAGGAACTATCCGACGTCGACGGTGGCGTCACGGACGCAGTCGATGCCGACATCTTCTGCAGTAGGTGCTCTGGCAGAGCATTATCATAATTAAAAAACGTCGCTAGGCGCGCGCTGATCGCCTTGGGCTTTTGCGCAGCAAGGTGTTTCACGCTCTCAGGACATAGCAGGGACATCACCTTGTTATGCCCGTTCTGCATGCCCTGGGGCAAATCGGAGTATTCCTCCATCTTCACAGAGGATCAGTCGTAGCGACTCAGGCCTAGATTGACTACGCAAGTGCAGCGGGGCTGCCGTAGCTCTTTGCTAAAAGGGAGCTCACTAAGGTCACCGACCTTACGTTCTTTGTAACCACCAGTACGAGTGCAGCGGTCTCCAAGAGTGCTGGGAACCTTAATCAAGGTAAACACGCTCTTTCGTTCAAAATTGAAACTGGATTTAACTGCTTTAGTTGCGACAAAGCCGCCAATATCTATAACCCTAGGTTTTTCTAGTTAATGTTGTAATACCGAAGTGTTGTAGTAAAACCCAATTTATATAGTAATATGCATTACTACTGGCAATCCTGCCACGTGGTGGCCTTTTGTTACGGTGTAGCCACACCACTGTGCGATTACACCAACTTGAGTAATCCAGACCTATGTACGGCCACACCATCTTGTGCGACTTGCCTTTTCATACAGCGGTACGTGTAACTCCGTTGCAACAGCTGGGTGTCAAAATTTCAATTCTGGTAAATTCAGAAGGTGTTCGATATGATTGCCGATGCAGATTTCTTGTGTTATCTCGAGAAACTCTTACTATCTTAGAGCCGATTGACAACGCAACTACCATATTTCTGAAAGATTACATATCTGTTCTTAAATCATACCGCGCATTAAAATTCGACTTTCAACATGTTTGAAATCTGGGGAGAAGAGATATCTACCGCAATTGGTCCATGCGCGCCTAGAATTCGTGTGCTACAACGGGATAAGTTGCTTATATTCTTTATCCATGCTATCCGGGAAATGCGATGACAACGGAATCGTGGAAGATTTTTTGTTTGACTTAATTTCAAACAAAAGCATGCGAGGCAATGTATGCTGAATACGCCCAATTTCAGGTCAATACGTATATGAATCGCGAGGAAAACAACTTTCGTCCAAAATGTTGTTTAAGCAATATAAGACACTTCTCCAATGCTTCCAGTACAAGCTGATCGATGGAATCTGAAACCTTCTACTTAAGAACATTGCTCTCAAGGTTTTCAATTTGGCTACGTCACGTACCGCGTCTGAAAGTAACTTCTTTTTTGCTGGGTATATCTATTCGAACCTGCAAAATCCATTGAAGTCGAAAGTGTTAAACAGTTGACCTTTACTAAGACCAACTCTCCTAAGGTCTTCGGGCTACCGCATGCCTTAAGAATATCTGAATAGCTGAATTTTTAGCTGTGCTGTTCTAAGAAGATGAGTATCAGGATAGTTGTATTGATGGCGTAGATGCTATCTGTGATACACGTACCATGGTATGAAAGGGTGAGTTACACAAGATGGTGTGACCGTACAAAGGTGTGGATTACACAAGACGGTGCAACCACGCAATCGTGTGGCTACACCGTAACAAGAATCCACTACGTGGCGGGACTGCCAGTAGTTATGCATATTAATTAGGTTTTACTATTAGCACTGACCCGGGACGGTCAATGTGCTATCGGAGTATCCAGGTTGTCGAAGACCGAAGGTGTATCGGACAAGTACCACGAGCATGGTTTGCGGGTTGAACATGGAGTGGCACGTAACCCACTGAGCACAGCATAAGTATCACCGCAGTCGCTTCATACCAAGCGTGGCTTGGTAAGACGAGGTCCGAGGCGTCGAGAGCGAGGCTCCAATAATTCACGTGGAGTGGCACATAATCCACTGAACACTGTGCACATTTCGAAGCAGGAGCTACTAGCTCCGCAGTCTTCGTCCAGTGGGTTACCTGCCACCACACGCGCATCAAGGGCCTTGTCTCGGATGTCTTGGACCTCATCCAGCCATGCCACTCTTGGCATGCAGCCGGATGTTATTAATCACACCAAGGCTACGGTGGATCAGGAAATGGGTTAATTCTGGACGACACTGAGTGCGTATTTCAACTGGTTTTGTCGAGACTTACAACCTCTGTGGAGAAGCGATGGCGACGCCGTATGTTATCTTCAAGACGCCGGGCGTCGGCCCTGACCCAGGATGCGTCTGCCGTAGACGATAGCGCACCACTATACACCCTCGTCAGTGGTTAACGTGGGGAAGACGGTGACGTTACCATCGAGGCAATTCCTGCGGTGAATACTCTTTTTGAGCTAGACGAGATGTAAAGTTTGGCAGTGCCTTGAAAGCAGGTGACTTAGCCGAAATGGTCATTATACAGCCGGATGAGGAGATCAACTCGTCGTCGCTTTCGGTTAACGCTGTCCTGGTGGAGGACACCAAGAGGGTGCTAAACGTACGAAGTGGGTATTCGATCCTATGGAATCCGTATTATCCTTTGGTGAAGGAATTTCAAGACGTCGTCTCGAAAGACCCGCCTTCGGTCCTACCTCTGGACCGAGGTGTGCGTCATGAAATCGCCCCGGTTTCGGGAACCAAATACTGCGTAACACGCCAATGGCCCTTGCCCAAGGAGCAGTGTGACGTCATTAACGGCTTTTTCCGTGCGAAGCACGACGCAGGAATGGTGCATGAGAGCAAGTCTCCCCATTCGACACGCACGTTTTGTTCTTCGGAAACCGATCGGCAAGTGGCGTATCGTTCGCGTTTTCAAAAAGCAAAACGCTGCTACCATTCTGGCACAGACGCCGATTCGTAGAAAGGATGTCCTCCAGAGCAGTATGGTTGGGTGTAAAAAGTACAGCGCACTATCATAAGCGAGCGATATTCCGCTGACAGCGGTGAGTACTCCGAGCGGGATGCTCTGGGAGTGGCTGGTGATACCCCAAGGACTGTCAAATGCACCAGCAACATTCAAGTGTCTTGTGACGCAATTTTTCAGGCCCACCGAGCGTATATACAGACATACTTCGGCGACATCTTCATCCGCGGTGGTGCGGTGCACAGGAGGACAGATGTGAAAAGCCACATCGTCTATTTGAGAGTGGTGCTCGAGTGCAATCTCACAGATAAGCTGTATGCTAATGCTGATAAGTGAATCGTTGGCGCAGATAAAGTCGTCCTTATAGGGTGCTTCATTGGGAAGCGTGGCCTTCGAGCGGATCCCGCTGCGATCGAGGCCATTGTGGACTGGCTGGTTCCAAAGAACCAAAAGGGCTTGCTCAAGTGGCTTGGCCTCGCCAACTACCTGCACAAGAATAGCAAGAATTATCCGGAAAAGGCACGGCCATTGTCGAATCTTCTTAAGAAAGATACGAAATGCTGCTGGAACACCGAGCATCAAAAGGATTTTCACGGGGTCAATTACAGATTCCTTCATGTACCAATACTGGCGTTGCCAGATCCCGACGGTCCTTTTTGTGTCGTCTGTGACGCGTCGGACTTTGCCATCGGCTGTGCACTGCTGCAAGCAGACACCGAGGGGAGAGATCGGGTGATCGCGTTCGAAGCTCGCCAACTCAAGGCTGCGGAGACGAACTACCCAGTCCACGACAAGGAACTATTTGCGATGAAGTATGCACTTGTCAAGTCCAGGGTGCACCTGGAATTACTTGCGAATGAAGTATGCACTTGTCAAGTCCAGGGTGTACGACTTTGATTTGACCCAAAGTCGTTTATGATCTACACAGTCATGCGTCATCACACACTGCCAATAAGTCTCCTAATCTCTCACAGGGGATGACCAGGTAGCTCTCCTTCTTCGCAGAATATAGGTAGAATATGAGCCAGGAAAGCAGAATGCTCTGGCTGATGCGTTGTCTCGCAGATCGGATTATGAGCTTGCTCATGGCGCGACGGTGACGTCGTCAGTGACGGATTTGATCGACACCGCATATGCGGGTGATAATATGTGTGTAGCGCTGCTGCAGACTCGCGAAAGAAAGGGGTATGAAAACTTGGACAAGAAATTGTCGGCGCGTTTGCGCGCACGGTTACACCGATATTCGCTGAGCAACGGATTGCTGTATTAAAGTACCTTTTCGGCGGATACGCCACAAATTGTGGCTCCTCATGATGAGGATTTGAAATAATGTATCCTCTACAAGACCCACGACACGCCACTCAGTGGTCATCACGGTCGTGAGAAGACGTACAACTCTACTACTGGTGGCACAAGCTGTACAAATGGACGAGCACATTTGTGCGCACGTGTGAGACGTGCCAAATGGTAAAAGCCTCTCCGAATGCGACGGCACCGCTGGCCATGGATCAAGGCTTGGTGGGGGAAGAATACCAAACGGCAAGCTGATGTCAGCCCTCTTACTGTTCGGAAAGAAGTCGATCACTTCCTGTCGACCACGCTGAGTGTCTTACGACACGTTCACCTGAAGGCCAGAACCTGCAAAAAGAATATGCAGATGAAAAAGGAAGAGACAAAGTGGAAAGCAAAAGGTCGGGGACCTGGTTTCATTAAATGTTGAAAATATTTCTACGCATGCGGTTTCTGCTGTCTTTAAGCCGAAGCTCCGTCCACGATTCATCGGAACTTTAATGGTCGCGACCAAACGATGCCTTGCGTATACGCTACACCTTTCGAGAAGGATGCGCACCCACTCGGTGTTACATGTGGGCTTGCTTAGGCCGTACCAGGATCCAGGGCAAGTGAACGCGGAAGCGTTGTTGCTATAACGGCGCCCAAAGGCGTTCGGCCACCCAGAAATTAAAACAGCAACCGATTTTGAGCACCGATTGCAATAATTTCCGTTTTCAAGGAAGTCAGGTGCTCCACCGTCGCACAAAGTGACGCATTCGTCTGCTCGACAACTAGGAGCCGCTCCGATAGAGCGCGATATTCCTCAACGTGAGGTAGTCGGTGCACAAACTGCTCCAAGATCTTGAGGTATTCCGCACAGCGATATGCGACCTCGGCAAGATGCTCAGCGGGATGCCGATGACGACAAACTTTGTCCTCAAGAGCTTGAAGAGCATTATCGGACGGCGATTGAACAAGTAGTCATCGTCCGCCGCCGACTCTTTTCAACACACACGATGACGTCCACTATCACGTGGAACTTCTTGTTGATCGACGGCATCGACAGGATCAAACCTAATATATTGTTAAGTGGCGTGGATGCCCAAACTCCGAGAACTCGTGGAAGTTTGAGGTGTTACTTCGGCAAGACTATCCAGTCGTCGTGGACGCTTATAATCAGAGGTATTATGACGCTCCGCGTCGTCGTAGGCCCCGCGCTTCACAGCAGCAGCCCGGTAAGCATAAGGGCCATGATTTGATTCAGAGCTATGGCTCTAAGCTGCTGTGGTCGCGGACTCACCCGTGTGAGAAACCATAGCACTCAAGGGAGCGTGATGTATAGTTCATATGTCGCAGGGCGACAATACGTAGGAAGTCCGCGTTGCGCCTTGGGTTAGGCAAACTCAAATCGAAGATGGCATTCTACTCACACATCCACTTCCTTGTAGCTCCGCTGTATGTGAGATAGCGAGGAAAGATTTTGGTGCTACTGTACCCATCACTCAAAGAGCTCATCATCATCATCTGTAGCAGTTTCGCCAGGGGCGAGCACCACAGGAATCGTCCGCATCGCGGGTACAGGAGCACCTTCTCTTTAAGCGCGAAATTGAGCGCGAAGTCGAGCGCGATACCTATCCATTGGGATTTCTCGAGGTACCCAGAAGCGATTCCGGAGAACTTTTCGTTGGTCGAGCTCAACTTGTGTAGGGGCCGGGTGCTCGACTACGTAGATGCCACACGATCGAGTGATCGCGTCTTTCGCTTCATTAGCGGGATTCGCCGAGCGGAAGCCGTATTTCACACGAGAGTCTGAGACCGAACGTGAATTCGAGCGCATGAGAGCCGCCCTGTGGGCAATCTCCAATTGCTGATCATGTGCCTTGTCGAGGCGATTGGTAATAATACCACTTTCCCTGGATGCCGAGAGGTCAGGGAACGGACACGGTATTCGCAAGGTTTGAGCTGGGCTCACGTCGCGCCGTTGGCGCACTTCATCCTCCTCGTCATCCCATTCTGGGATTGGAGTGACCGATTCGTAGTTTATTTCCTCCGAATTCTCGACGAGGAAATCCGTCGCTCGTGGCGGGTGCGGTGTGCGGCGCACGGTTGCCGAGGGCCTTGGGTGTGCTTACCGCGATGCCGCGGACGTACTGTCCGGAGTTGCACCGCTCGGAACTAGCGAGGCTGGGTGTTTTTCGTGTCATGGACACAGCGCTTATTGAGTAGAGAATGCGTGAAGAAGGCCCTGAGGACCTGAAGGTGTCTAAGACACACGGGCATCGTACGAGGCGATAGTTCAGTGTGAATTGTGGGTATTCACAATTTTGATGGGGGAGAGTATAACGGGGTTTCACGTACCCTTGCATGAAAGAGCGGGTTGCACAAGATAGTGTAACCGTACATAGGCGTGGATTACACAAGTTGGTGTAATCACATCATGCTGTGGCTACAACGTAACAAGAAGCCGCTAAGTGGCAGGGCAGCCAGTAGTAATACATATTGATTTGGTTCTACTTTTTGATAAGGAAAACTAAGGTTTTAGATATAGGCGGCTCTGCCGCAAATAGAACAATAAAATCCCTTTTACATTTCGAATGGAAGAGCGTCTTTGCCTTGATAAAGGTTGTTAAGTACTCTTGAGAGTGCGGATTGCGATCCGATACACTCGTACTGGTTCTGGCATAGAACGTAAGGTCGGTGACCTTAGTAAGCACTCTAAGAAAATAGCTACGGCAGCCCCGCTACACTATCGGCGATGAATGATGTCGTCAGAAATCGTTAAGAAACACTTCAATGTGCGTTTCTGACCCTTGATTAAAAGCACAATTAATTTTGGGCTTGATGGGTTATATAAACAAGAAGTCCATAATATCCTGTGTCTTGTTTATAGTTGAACATAGCCCTGCCTCCACGCTGGTGATGTAGAAGCACTATGAGACCTTGCAGATAGGACGATGGGTTACAGCGTTATCTTCGAATAAAATATCAGATGCTTGATATAGTACTACAAATTATTATTTTCTTTGTCATATTCCTCTCAGCATTTTAGCCGTAAGAATTCCGGATACGTTATTTTACTAAATCCAGACTGTAAATTTCAAAAATAAATCTCGGCCATGATTTTCAGACGGGCCGTAATCCACTCTTAATTGTATGCAAGTATTCAGTAATTCTTCGCTCTCCGATTGGTTGTCCTAATTATCCATGTCGTCGTCAGCACTTGTAGCGACGTCTTCGCTAGCTACGCCGCCCATTGAAGATGACGCCGAGCTACCTATTGATCTCTCACAGCTTCCTTCTATTCCTGCACCCAAATCGCTGCTTCTCATCAACAATTTTGTAGCCAATACGACGCGATTTCTTAATCATTTTGCGCACGAATGTGAGGAGCGGATCACCCGTGTGTCGAACAATGTCACAAAAGTCGAGATTTTGTTAGCAATTTTGGAGGCCAAATTGAACAGTATTCCAGATCTAAGCGTTTCCGATGTCGTAATCGATAATGATACTGCACACACAAACTCAGATGTGAATCAAATGGACCTCGGCATTTCAGATCAAGATCTGCCGTCTATGGAAATGCATGACATGCCACTACCCCCTCCTCCTCCCTCAGCAAATGACCAGGAAACCGCCATTGAATCGATGCCGCTTCCACCTCCTCCGCCTATAGAATTGATGCCACCTCCGCCTCCGTCGTCCATGGGAGACTTTGAGAATGATGAAGATCACTTTGATGTGGATCATGAATCTCCATTGCTAAAATTAAAAGATGACCCAGTTTACGCAAAATACTTTGCCATGCGAAGACTCGGTATTCCCGACCAAGTAATTGAGCACAAACTCATGATGGATGGAATGGATACTAATATTCTCAGCATGGACCCTGAAGGGCCGTCACCTAGTGGAGGTTTGGCCCCAACGATGACTTCACAGCCCACGGGACCAATTTTGCCCATCATGGCGCCTCCTCCTCCAAATTCAGTTGAGGAAAGTGATTTTTCAGATGATGATGACCAGGAGTTACCACCTCCTCCACCGTCATTGTCGATGCCAAGAAATGCCGATCAAGCGTCATCTGGTAATATCGGAATGCCGTTTCCACCGCCACCACCACCAATTTCACCCACGGTTCGTTAGATTAGCCATTTTGATCTGCTGATCTATTTGACTTTATGGCTTTTGTCGAATACTCACTGCAGTCATCAATTGGTGGAGCTTCGGTACTTTTCAGTGACCCACCTCCGCCTTCAATGGCACCACCAATAAGCGAGATGGAAGGCTCAAGTGATGACGACATTGAAGAATTTGATGCTGATGAACCACCAGTGACTGCTGGCGTGATGAAAATCAAAGATGACCCTGCTTTTGAAAAGTACGTGGTCCAAGCTAGTTTACTTCTTGTGCTTACTAACAGATCGATTTTGATCGATCGGAGCTAGATACTTTAAAATGCGTAAGTTGGGCATGCCAGACAGCGTTATTCAGCATAAACTTACTATGGATGGCGTGACCCTCGACATTTTAAAGTACGTGATCACAGTTGTTACTATGACTGCTTTGTCCTGATTAAGGATGTCACTCGTGTTTATCACAAACAGTATGGACCCTGAAGCCCCCTCTCCAAATGCGACCGGCGAAATTTCAGAGACTTTAGCAAGTTCCATTGATCTACCTCCACTCCCACCTGGATTGCCACCACCTGCACGGCAAGCTGGGGGACTACCTCCACCTCCTATAAAACGATATGACGATTCAGATTCTGATTTTGATTCCGACTGATATGTGTTGATGAGTCTACCAAGAATTACTCGCGAGAGTTAAGAATTGAATGAGTGATGTCATTATTTTAAAAGGTGAGCTCATGTGCGCTGATTGTTTTATTATAAAGCTTAAATGTAGCTTATGAAACTCGACCTCAGCTTTAATTTTCCTATGATCAGTCTCATATCTAATTTCTTTGTGCATTGACATGTCCACTTTGAATCAACCAAAGGCTGAGTTCTACGAGCTGCCAGTCATAGACTTCAAATTGCCAACATCTATTCTATAAATGAAGAAGACATTTGTGATGCCAGATTTTTGTCTTGGTAATTACCAACCCTATCGTTTGAGAAGTAGTGCTTCGAAAAGAAGTTTATAACTGAAACGAGCTTGGTAGCAGAACCCGTACTGTCGTCATCAAAAAATATTGCACAATCACTCGAACCAACAACGTTGGCCTTCATCTTCGTGGTAAGCTGTTTATCTATCGAGTTGACAAGTTGAAAATATTATTATCGATATGACCAAGCTTGTTATTAACTCTGACTACAGGATAGTCGGCGGGCAGGTACTTTTGTCGCTGGGCTCGATCAATTTGAACTCCATAGATAGCTCGTGTAATATCCTTTTTATATTTGCATTACATTGAGATTGTTATCAACAAATAAATCCCTGATCGAGCTCTTAGACAAATTGTTCCCGGTTGTAGTCACCCAATTGCTGATACTTATGCTACCGAGGTAGCTAATTTCGGAGATATATTGGCTGAGCTGAGATTCAAAGATAGCGGAGAGCTTGCCAAGCCCGTATGCACATAGGACCTTGTCATCACATTTTTATCCGTGAGCTATACATGCGATAGCTAGAAAATCACATGTGCTTACACATGCTCGATGTCGCAACGCACATGTTGCTCGAGTTATTGATCACAATTCGATGCACAAGTATTACTAATCGTACTTGACCAATTTGATGTCATGACACCCACTATTAAAGTCAAGTTGTGAGATTTGATCAATCTGCTGTTTGTACTAATCGTAGCCGGACCGTTGTTACTCACCGGTAGTTCTAAGTTTATTTTTTGGGATCTCCATAATTGTCAAGGGGCACACACTTGTCGACATAACTGTTGGATCTTGAGCGATATAAGCGATAGACCTGAACATATTCGAAAGCCATGCTGTCGGAAAGTCATTTACAAAGCAGTGGGTCTCTCTGCTACCGACATCACTTCCGAAACAGTAGTGAGATACAGAGTTTTCTAATCAAACCCACAGATTTATGAAGTGGCTTAACTTTCGTCTTTACTTGCTAGGCCTGGAGTTGGCAAATAGCTCAAGTTGCGTCCTGAGCCCATAGCTAGGACCTTGGGCTCCACCATAAACCTGTCATTCAAGAATGTGAGCCGAACGTAACAAATTGCACGAGTTATACTACCACGTGCTTCATGGCAGGATTGTAACGTCGCATCGACGGACCAATATTGACCTTCTTGGCCGATTTGAATCTAACATAAAAGCCAATCGGACTTCTTCAGTTTGCTTCTACATGTGTAATCTAGGCGATTTGACGCCAACGCCCTCTAGCCACCTTATGAAAGAATTCAATAGTACACCTTTAATTACATGAAAATGAAAAGTTGAGTGACTGTGAATGAAAACGAGACAGATCATATCAAGAGGTATTTGAGATATGGTCTACCTCGTTTCCATTCACAATCACTCAGCTTGTCTATACTTAAATCTGATCAATGGACATTCCTCAAGTTGAGTGCGTTCATACAGAAGATGCATCAATTTGATAACCACGAGTGCGTGGATTTGCCTCGTTTAAGATTTTGGCATCTTGATTTTTGTCAGCATCTCCCTAATCGACCTTCTTGCATCTGTCATCTATACTTTTCCAAAGTTCACCAGAGTTTTCAGCGTTTTTTTGTAACGCAGCAAGTTCGTTTCTTGGTAGCTAGCTAGCTATCCATGGCTGTTTATATAAAAAAGTCGTAGTCCTCGGCGCTGCACGTGATACTTGCTGTTTTTTTGCTTTGATCACCTTCTTCATGTCATAGACCAAGGCACTCGCACCACCTCAATTGAACGAATAATTAGTTGGTAAATTTTGGAACGCTGGCGAAATAATGAAGTTTTCGTGAGGAAATGCTTCACATTGTATGTATAGTATAGACCAATATTGGCGATGTCATATAATTACTTCTTTAAATTTAGACATTAGGGATGTATGCATTTAATAGTTATCCAATCACATGTAGCGAAACTGTTACCACAACTCTTTTTTGAAATACAACAAACTTCATACAGTGCTGTTCTTGGTACGATGTGAAACCTTGGTGAGCACATACTACCTAGCTTCATACAATATTATTCTAGAATTTGAGCGGTATTAAGCACTTGTCACCTTGGAGAGCGCCTTAGGAACAGCTTCTGAGCTGATTTTTTTGTGCTCTATCCATGACACATAGCTATACATCAAAGTTTGCTGTTGTACAAGGATCGATGCTAGCCTCGTTGCACCTGATAACAACCCGGTTTTTGAATCTAGATTAATTTTTGTGCGAATGGAATAGAAAATGGTCACTTATCTGACGCCGTAGTACAATTAACAAGATCCTGTCCCAAAGAATTATCGTTGCGAACAACCGCACCCGTAGAGACCCCCATATCTACGGCAGCTGTTATCAAACACGGAAAGGGTCAGCCGACATACCAGTTGCTCTTAACCCTTGGACTTCCTCCCATATTGTTCTATTCCATTGGCTGGATGATATAACCTTTAACTACACACGAATAGCTTTGTAGGAGATGCAAAGACTTACGCTATCTGTCGAACTTCTCGCGATTGAAACGCCTCATTTATCAAGCACCCTTACAACCTGTTCTTCAAGGTACTCAATATACAGTAAAGTGGTCTCAATTATAGAGTTCTGTAAATATTGGTGGAATTTTACCGGCATTCGACTTCCAGCCTCTCCTCCGGTAGTAATCGCACAGATTGATTCTCACTAGCGTATTTGAGTAGATGACAGAAGCATCCAGGCGAGGGGAAACGTTTCCGGGATGTTGTATGATATATCAAATACACCCCAATGGAGGGATTAAATGTGGAAATAATTCTCGATCCACAAGAAGTGCGAAGACTGAAGATTTTTTTTAGTGCTGGATGTGATAGATTTCAGCCACGCTGATTTTAAAGAGAGAGCCTTGTCGACTGCTGAGCAGCACCTTTGTACCCCTTAAAATATAAAATTCTTACACTCTGTGTGGCCTTTTTTTTGAGTGACGGCAGATACATTTCGGGAATATTTGAAGTATGTGATTTGTGGTCTTTTTACAACAAGTCGATGACTACCGTACACCTCGAAGGTCGAGGACAATATGATCCAGCCTTGATGATGCTATGCTATCGAAGGCAGAGTCGTCTTGAAGTTGACTGTCAGGATCAACTTAACAGACTGGTAAGGTCCATGAACAGCTTCAAGAGAATCATATATTCGCCACACCAATGTTAATAGCATTATAAATATTTGTGATTGCATTAAGAATGTCAATTTTTACATCCGTTCGTCTAGCAATGGAGATATGTGGATATGGTTTCCTGAAATGTAATATTAGAATGGACTCTGTCAAGTCGTAGACCTCGATACGAGATATGTCCCTGTATATATTCGACCAGGATCAAACGCCATGGGCAATAGATCACCTGATAGTCGAAAGCATTACTTTTTTCTTGCGAAGCTTTGATCCATCTGTTTTGTTACAAGTGGAAGGCAATTGGTATGAGCACGATGCTATGACAGTTTGCTGAGAGCCTCAAGCAACGATCGGAAAGTGACGAAAGCGGGGAGCCGTTGTCTTAGCGATCAATGTCGCAGTTTCCCGAGCCGCTTCCTGTCGGTGAAGGAGAAAGAGACTAAATGCCAGGATTGAGGGCACATGATTTCGACAAATCTTCAGGTCTAAATTGTTTCTTGTTAAGATTTACCACAGCGCGGTAAAATAGGATCTGCCACAGTGATGCCGTCACATCGGGCGTCCGATTCTAAATTTTTGGAACCAACTACATCAATGACCCTTACCAGGGTATTAATAAAGACATATTTAGCGTCTTTTCTTCGTATCTGGTTCAAAGTGGTACTACATCTCTCCGATCGGATCTAGAAAGACAAATAACAGGTAGAAAATCTGGCATGCTTTCAGTAAGCTTAGTGTTATCATAGTTTTGGTGGAGATGGCAATTCTTTAAGAAGGATGGATACCAGTGCATTTACGTTTGCTCAATGTTGCACCCACTCACCGCTGTGATTTATTTGAACGAAATGCTTTGGGTTTGGTTAATGATACCCTTAAGACATCGCAAAACTTCAACTGTCTATTGAGATATGGTGTGCAGCGGGACTGCCGTAGCTCTTTGCTTAGAGGAAGCTTACTAAGCTTACGTTCTTTACTAGAACCGGTACAAGTGTAGCGGATCGCAATCCGCTACCTCCAAGAGTACCCAAGACCTTAACTAAGGCAAATGCACTCTTCCGTTCAAAATTGAAACTATATTTATCTGAGGCGGAGCCATCTATGTCTGAAACCTTGAATATTATCTAGCAAAACCTACTTAATATGCATTACGGCTGGCAGTGTATTGGCTTCTTGTAACAGTGTAGCCACACCATTGTGCGAGTACACCGACTTGTGTAATCCACACGTTTGTGCGGTCACACCATTTTGTGTGACCCACCCTTTCATACCAGGGTACGTGTACAAGGTGCGTCATAAATCAGTTGTCATTGCACGCCTAAACGGACTGCCTATGAGAAGTGTGCCGGTTGGAAAACGCAGCACCGCAAGACACTTGAACACTAATTATCTTATCGAGATACTGTAATAAGCTCTGATGTATGCTGATGCTAAAGCAACCTCAGATATAAAAAAATAAGTAACCTGCTCTGAGTGCAAAAGAGACGCTGCTTTTACAATAAAATTTCGCCATTTTCTAGCTGTAGTAGGAGTCGATAAAGTTAACTGGAATGCTGATGATTAAGTGCAGCGCACACTTCGCTTGCCGTCAAATTAATTAGTCGCATGGTCAAATGTGGTTCATTGCCATCAAGGGACTAAAAGTAGTAATAAATACACCCCACGTTGATACGATTAAGGGCTGCTATTGTTTATGCAAGATTTATATCTGGAAATTTAAAAATTAAAATATGTAATTCCATTGTTTTTTAAATGTTCCTTCCAAAAACATGATTCGGAATCTCAATGCTTTTAGCTACAGAAAAAAACGATACTATTATTTTATCCAATCAAACCAACCATCTTGGTCATTTTTGATAAAAAAGGAATGCGAGTAACGCTCGAAGTTAAATATTTCGTTAATGTTATGATCACTGTCTTCTCAAAGTGCATTGGGATCTCGTGAAGGATTGCGGTGATAGTCGCGCTTGTATGGCTATCCTCCATGTATGCGTTAGGCAAAATAAGCAACTTGACCGCAAGCGGTAATCCTAAGTTGGCGGTGCAAAGACCCACGACCTCTATCGCCGGAATTTTTTTCCATGCTAAGAGTGTCTCATTTATTTAGGATCAGCCCTTAGTATACATTCTCTGCAGCGGGGCTGCCGTAGCAAAACACTTGAGGAAGCGTACTTTAAGTCACCGACCTTTCGTTCTTTACAAGAGCAAAGTATGAGTTAGCGGATCGCAATCCGCTTACTCCAAGAGTGATTATTGCCTTCCCAAGGCTAATCGACTCTTCGGTTAAAAAAATAAACTGATTTTTATTTATTAATTTATCCAAATTTTGAAACTTTAGATTTTCCTAGATATACTAAATATATATAGTAAAATCTGAATACATGCATGCATAACTACCGGCTACCTAGCCCGTACCGTACCGTATTCTTGTTTGGGTATGGTCATACCATGCACATCGCGTATGACCATAGGGTTCGTGTAACCCCGATACACCCTCCCCCATTAAGATTGAGAACATTTACAGTTCCAATCGATTATTGTCTCAACGAGGCTCACGTGTCCGTTAGACACTGCGATTCAATTTGTTGCAGTTTAACAACATCCTTGCTCAATGAGTCCTGTGTCTACGACACGAAAATCACCGAGTCTCGCTGGTTCTGACAGCGAGCACGAGCAGAGCCCAACTTGCACACAGTGCGATGTTATACAGTGCGTCCGCAGCACCGGAGGATATATATCCTAGGCTCGATAAGCACAAACCTCGCGCTCCGCGCGCGCTTTCAGTGCCGAGTGGCCTCGTTGAAGATGTGGTCGTCTATGAGTCTGACACCTCTTTACCGCATAGGAAGGCGAGTTGCACCAGCAGCGTGATACGAGCCCTGCTCGCGCCTTGCGGACCCCTTGTCCGTTCTCTGACTTCTCGTCAACCGAGGAATGTGGTGTAATCACCAATGACCTCGACGGGAAACAGGGGCGGCAGCATGAAGCTGCACGTAAGGCGGCTCTGATGCGCGGCCATCCACGGTCGGTCATTGAATTTCGTGTGAAGTATGGCTTCCGCCCTGCAAATCCCGCTTTGGAAGCCAAAGACGCGGTAAATCGATCGTTGCGCGTGCACACCATCGGGCCCCCAGCCAAAACGGATGGTGAACTTGCCTCACGGAAAGCACTTCGAGCTAGTTTCTTGGTCCCACATAAAATTCCGTTAGATGTTTATCGCACTCGTCTAAGTGCTCGACGAGGTGGCTCTCGTGTACCCACAATGCAAACAATACCTGAAGTACTCGCCCCTGGCGAAAGCGCTACAGATGACGAAGCGCTCTTTGAGCGATGGGTGCAATGGTACCTTGAGCTTTCCTCACTGTACAGGTAAAAGTTGAGCCACAAGGAAGTGAA